ATGGGCATAGTCAGCGTGTGATGCATCCAGCCCGCAGACCAGGAGTTTGACAGCCGTGACTTAGAGTGTTCTTGTTTAGGTGGAGGTAATTTGCTTCTTTTGTGTCATTATCAATTTATATCAATAGTTGTTTTTATTTGCTTTTAATATTATACAATGCTCTGCCCAGAATTAGTGGCATTCCAAATTGGATATACATTGTACTTAAAAGAAAAAAAGAAAAACTATGAAACTGGCTAGCCAATCTCAGTTTTGGAGCACTTAGTGTAGTCCTTTACAGATTAAATTATGACAGATATCTGTAGAACATGAAATAATTTTCTAAAAATATTAAAGCTAATGACCAAACATATTTTTAAAATTTTAAAAATCTTTATGTTTCTCAATTTTCATTTTTTAATCCCTCAATTCCTTCTCTCATATGTTTTCAATTAGAAAAATAGTAAATGACCACCAATCCTCAAGTGGAGTTTCCAGTTGGCTTGGAAGTGACACTAGTATAAAAAAAAATAAAGGAAAGAAATCAGGGTAAGCAATAATTTGAAGGTTCATCTGATTTTATTGGAAATGTTTATTGTTCAGTCAATATAAAGTCATCCCCCCCCCCAATATTTTCATTTTAAGATGCTTCCTTTTGGTTTGGTTTGTAAGCTTTCTTTTGAGAAAAAACAGCAATCTTACCTAATATTTTTCTAGATTAAACAATATATCTAAAACAATATTTGACAGTCATTTTTCAGTTACCTTGTTAGCTTCAAACTCAATGTTATTCATTTCATAATGCATTGAAAATGAAGCTAACAGGGTTCATATATGGCTTCTTTAGCATAAGGACCTACTGCTAGACATTCTAAGGCACCAGTATTCAGCTGCTTTATTACAGGTGACAATCTTCTAATTGAAGCTACTCCATAATAAGTAGTTAAAAATTAATACTTTAGAGTACTAGCTGCTTGTCTCATTGGCATTCTAGATGGTAAAGTCTAGGATCAGATATACATTTGTACTGCTGGATTTATATTACTAGATAAGAGATTAAATAAAGTCATTTAAAGTGGCTTAAATTTACAATTGTTCCTTTCTGAAATAGGTTCAACTTAGCATCTAAACAAACAGATGTTAGAACAAAATGAGGTCTGGTTCCAAGCCAGGGTTGCATAAGAATGACACTGGGTAGATACACTGCTTGAAAATGTGACGGAGGAAAGAGGCAAAGAGAGATGCACTCACACTCACTTTCTGGGCACAAACACAAAAATTCTCTAACCTACGATCCCCCTGTTCAAGTAGCTATTTGGTTCAAAGCCCAAAACTCCCCTTACTCCCTGTGTCAAACTGGGCAGAGTCCAGGTGGAACAGCATTCTCCAGACAAATGGTCTGGTGGCCACTAATTGATGTATTACCGGGCAGGGTCTGCTGGCCAGGTTAGTCTGAGTACCACAAGAGCCAACAAATTGTTAGGGGGGAAAAAGAGTTCTGGTTCCAATCCAGGGTTATGTGAATGACACTGGACATGCTGCTTGAAAAGGAGGCAGTTTATTTGAGAGCATAGCAACAGCACTTAAGGTAGCTACAATTTGGGATTTTGAGCTGTTGATGTTTATAGGGAAAGTGGTTCTTTGAGAGGTGTTTGAATGTGCCCTTTGAAATGTTTATTCTGGTGGATACGCAGTCCCAGTGGAAATGTCCTGCTCTTACTTTGCTGAGTGTGTAGATCATTTCCTTTTGGTGAGTGCCTGTGTGCTGACTTTAGGTGTCACATTTGTGTGTTCAGGAAAGCTCTGTATCTTGAACGGATTTTACCTGTTTTCTTATTCTTTTGAGAGACGGGCAGCTTTATTACTTTCAGCCTAAACTGCTGAACAGTTTAAGAGGTTTTTTTGCAACATTGCATTATCTGTGTTTGCAACATAGTTTCTTTTGGTTATGGGTAAGTCATGTTGATGATTAAAGGAGTTCACAGAGAGTTGATGAATAAAATTATTCTTGAATCTAAAATTCTTCGAACACATCTTTGAAGTAAAAATGTTATAAACAAATTTGTAAATGGTGAATCGTTTTTCCCATTATTTTCCATGTTAGGCATGCCAAGGATAATTCCACAATCCCACACATTAATTATTTTATTATGCATAGTTTATTGTATAAATCTTTTATTATGCATGTGTATTCTCTAACACTTGATTGTCAGTTCTAAATTTCTCTGAATAGTTTCCAATGTGTGTGAAGAAATATTACTTCCATCATTCCCATTTGATTTAATTCAAACCAGAAAGGGGAAAAAATGTTACCTCTTTTTCTCACTATTTTGTACCTCATCCCCACCAATTTTATTTTTCTTTATTTTTCCACTTTCAGAATTAATAGAAGTTCAATTATAATGGGCACTCCTTCCCACTCCTACCCACCCAACCCATGTCTTTTAAACCATGATTTCATTGTATTTTCAAAAAAAATAGTAAATAGCGTCCTTTTTGAAAATAATAATTGTAATAATAGTAATATTTTTTTAAAAAAATACCTGCAGTTTTATTTTAAAGTTTCCCATTTGCTTGGAGGCATATTTCAAATTTTGGGAGAATAATGACAGCAATTCCCATAGTGAATGGATGGGTTTTCCCATTCACAAATCGGCTGCTTTTCTTCCTCCCAAAGTTCAAAGGAGCAAAAGATTTTTGACTGCCAAGAAATTGCATATTGCATAAGCACTATGTTGGGAACCATCATTCTTCAGTTTCATAATGGATGATTGCATACAGTAATCATATAGTCCTGGATCAATTTTGGATGTCATACATTACAGCCATCTTGCTGAAACAAAACATGCTGTATTTTTTGAGTATCAGTAAATCAGTCAGATCTCATTGGGAAACATCACAAAGTATCTTATTTTATTCTATGTCTTAAGCTAAAGTGAAGTACAAATATATAAAATAAAATAATTTGGTTTTCATAACAGTGGTAACAGTGGTCAATCCTTTTCAACTTATTTTCCTTTTTTAAATTTATGTTCTTGCTTTCTTATTGTAAATGCCATAGCAGTTATTTGACATATTATGTATTATTTATAAACCAATATCTTTGTGGTTAATGAAGATTACAGAGCAGGAAGTTTATGTATTTTGGAGCGTGTGGATGCAAAAAAATTGCTGCCGCGAGAAATAGCTCTTCCAGTAGACAGGATGCACATACAATCTATTGACTTTCATAAATAGTTGCCTTTCAGTTGTCAGATGAGGATGTTGGCTAGCTGCATCATTTGATAAGGATTGAAAATAACATGTTTGTAATATCTCAGTCCAAAATGTTGCACCACACTGATGAATGAAAGTATTTCTGGGCTCATGTTGCTTAATTTCTTGATTTACATTTTGCTTTGTTTCTTCTTTGGTCCCAGAATGAATTACAGCCATCATTCCTGCAGAAGTTGTTAATAATTCTGTCCTCAAGATTTACTTAATGTAAGAAAATTAGATAATTTTATTTGGGGAATAAGAATGACAAAATTAAATAGACCTTACATGAACACATTTATTCTAACAAATAAACTGAAGGCAATTTAATGGTTAAAACTATCACAACTTTTTTCAGACTTACACAACAGCTTTGAAAGTTTCTTCTCCATATGGGTGCATGAAGATGTAACAAAAGACAGCTGGAAGCAGCTTCTGAAGCAGCTAAAAGAAAAGCTTGGCTCCTTTAACAATTTGAAAAGAAGTGCTTTGTTCTTACACCCCCACATTTTGAAGCATGTATTATGAAGGATTTGCACAGCCCTCAAGGACAGTCCTTTCTGCAGACAAACTCTTTTAAAATGTTTTGTTGGAAATACATGTTGCCAAATGAACTGTATTGTTTAACCGATTTCTAGCATTTATAGATGGACATCAACAAGAATATTATGTGTAATATTAAATGCAATGTTGTAGACATGAGTGTGCCAGGTTGATGCTCTGTTGTAAAAAAAGTTTGAGAGCAGTGCCTTTGTACTCCATTTGTGTTTTAAATTGACACTATTTTATTGCTGAAAACAGGAAGAAAGCAGATTTTGTTTTGCTATTGATCGAGAAGATGGGATTTTCAGGAATCTAAAAACCAAAAAGCATTTGTTTCTCAGCCCACTCAAAAACCTGCCTGTTAAATACAGGCAATGTTTATATATTGTTGACTGAGAGAGATTTTGTGACCTGGAGAACCCACAGAGATTAGAATTTAAATGCAGAGATCTTGCTTCTTTGAATAAAAGTTTGATAGCTGACCCTAATAGAGATCTGAACAAAGCCTTCCAATGAACTGCATCCCTAGGTATATTGCTCAGTTTTTGGAGATACAAATATAGCTGTATCCTATATTGTTTTAACTGTACATATAGTTAGCGCAAAACAACAGAGAAGCCATAAACAGGTTATTAAGGAGATTTATGAACACATATTTTGCTTTTGTTCCTGAAAGTTCATAAGTCAGATCTGTGCTGCCATTAAAATTAAAACTCCAGAGTGTAGCACTATGTATTTTCAGTCTGATAGGCTTTTAAGGTATAAAGCTTAGCTTTATTTAATATCTTTCACTCTTGCTGCTATTTGGCTGGTTGTGTTATTTGCTACTTATTATTGCTTATATAAGTTTGTTTGTTTATCACATTTCTGAACCCCCCATTTTGCTCATTTGTTGTCTGGGTATATTTATGTTATATTTGATGTGATTCTTGATATATTTTATAAAATGAATGGAACTCACGTATTTTTATGAAACTATTAATTAAATGTATTTGTTGGCAGTGAGCAAAATTAATGCACCTTATGCAATTTAGAGAAGCAACCTCTTTTCTGAAAACGTTGATAGTACAACACAGGGTTGATAACACTAGAATAGCAGTTTCTCCTTTGTATTGTAAGATTTTATGTGAGCACCTGGATGCTTAATGCTTTTAGATGCCCATTGGGACATCATTTCTCAATCATTGAGCAGATAGATATCAGTTCCTTATTCCCTTCTCCACTATGAACTTGAAGCTTTCCTGTACAATTCTGAGAAGATGCCAACTGTTTCAATACACTTTCAATAACATTCTTTGTTTCCTATTTCTTTTCTTAGTTTTTATTGTGGGGCGCTAGCAACCTGAAAGTGGGGGGGAATGCCTGACTCTGCATCAGACATGTTGGTTTAAGTGTTTCTTAGAATAATGTACATTGATCTTGTTGTGGTGACCACATTAGATTTGGATCTGTTTTAAGGAGGGGTTCCTTCCCACATAAAAAGCATATAGTTCAGTGAAGCCACTTCAAGTAAATAGCTTTGTGCTCATTCTTCCCTGAAGCTAAAGACTGTTCAATATTTTAGTAGTTACCTATAGAGATTAATCTTGAGGAGAACATATGTAGTGCACATTTTTGTTTTACTCTTTCTTCTAAAGCTATTTTCAGGCATTTTTAAAAGAACAAATGGAAGATGATGGGCATTCTGTGCTCCCAACCTATTCGAAGATCTATGTTTGGGTAGAATTATATATAGCAAGAGCATTAACCTTGGTTGGCTGCATATGCCAGCAGCTTTCTAAAGATCTGATAGTTTGTTAAAGAATAACTTGCAAGGCTGACACATTTCATTTTTTAACAATCCAGGCTGGGTGCTTCTAAGTGTACCACAAAGTTTTAACATGCTATTCACATGAAAACATAGAAGACTTGGTAGCCCAAATATTTTTTTAAAATGGTTGTTTTTTCAGTACTTTTGGAAGAAATTCTACCACTGATAGGCTGATAGGCGACAGCAAGAGAGTGTCCAGGGTGTTTTCACAGTTTATTTCTTCACTGAATTTATATCCCATATTTTCTGTGAGAACTTGGCATACATGAATATCTCCCCTAATTTTGTTTCCACAAGAGTGATTGGCCCAAAGTCACCCAGAGCTTTATTCATGGTATGAAGATAAATTTGATTTGTTTTCTCTTGGGAGTCTTATCTAATGGAAGGGGAGGAGTGGCTTGTTTTATTTTGTTTTTCAGTAAGGTGGGTTTAGAAAAAGCATTGGCCAGGAAGTCACAAATTACAAATGTGGCAAAAATGATAAATATAGATTATCATTTATCAAGTAGCCATGATGCATTTTACTGCATTTTCTGGTTTTCTGAGCTCATTTAACATTGAAGTAAACTGCTTAGCACAAAATTATGCAAATGATTGGCTTTCCAAATAATGCCATGGTACCATATGCTACCAATCACTTGTTAAATTGTTCTTTGAATTCACTTTCTGCATGATTAGTGAATGAGAGAAAAAGACTGCAAAGCTTTCTTGCCTTGTGAAGATGTATAAGCAACTTTACTTTGAGAGAGCTAAAATGTTATTGTGTTTAAATGTCTATAAAGCATATTTGCCAATACATTATTTCTGTATGAATGCTTAGCTGTTTAGTTGATCCTGAAATCCATAATCTTTGGGGAGAAGTTGACCCATTGGAATTCTGAATCTGTCTTGAGTGCAATCAATCGTTAAAACATTCATTTCCCAGGTGGCAACTGATGAGAGTAAAAGACTTCGCTACACAAACTGAGCATACTACAGACAGAGGATTTCATACTCATAATCTCTAGCTTCCAGCCACATTTAACCCTGCAGTGTTACCAGACACCTTCTAGCTAGCTTACCTTTTAAGTTTTCTAGGTATTGTGGCAAATGCCACGATGGAGCATAGGGCTACCGTTGTACACGGCAGCCTGTTTTATTTTATAGCTGAGAGGTGTTGTGCTATAATGTAAAATATACTTACATACAATAAATATACTGTATAATATACAATGAATTTCTGGGGTATGTAGCTTCTAAGAAAAATCAGGGATTCTGCCTTTGATAAATAGAAAAGAATGTCTGTGGGTACAACAGGACTCCATTGATGCTATACTGGAAACCACAGGCCAATATTTTGCAGACTCCAATGCAATGAAACACTTTACTTACATTAGAGCACTTGGTTAAGTGGCTTGGCTGGTATAAATTATTTCTTTTAGAAAGGAGTATTATTGAAAATTACTCAGCACTGGTCTTTTATGTGTTTTGGTTAAAAAAATGAAAGTGTTACAAAACTTTACAATGGGATTCAGCTGTACAGTATCCATCTTCCCATTGTTTCAGACACTCTGTTCATGTCTGCATGAAAGTTTATGCAAAAATAAAGCCCTTAGTGATTCTTCATTTACAACCATGAAAAATGTTTTTCTTTTCGCTTCAAGTATTAAATGGGTTGCGATACAAATGGAACTCCTACTGCTCTGGCTGTAGTGTAAATAGCATTCTACTCTCAGATTTTGATGTTTAGACTCTGTGGACTTTTAGTAGTTCCTAGAAGAATTATGAACATGGTATCTTAGAAAAAAGCAGCTTGAGTTCTCTGTTTAACTGGACGCTGCACACTGTCAGGTTTAGTCAATCAAATATATAGCATGCTTTCTTCCCTTTTCCCTTTGAAAATCTTCTAAAAAGTATTCTAGAAATTAACAATAAAGACCTCAAGAAAAAAAAATGCAACTACTAGATACTGTGCTTAATCATTTGTTGTGACAAAGGCTACACAGTCTTTTTCCCCTGATGCAAATACTTCCATTTAACAATAATATGATAACTGCTGATCTCTCTGTGAGTTGGATTCACAGTCTAAGAGATTGCAGAAGAAGCAGTTAGAAATAACAACAAAGCATTGGAAACCCCAAATGTATCAGATTCATTTTAATAAATTGCTTTTAATAGTCTTTAATACTTGCTGTTCAGGATTTTGTACAGATTTGCTGTCCCATAGCAATTTATTTCATTGGCCTAGGATACCTGATTTATTGATTTTATTGGTTACATATTGTTGCTATTGTTGCTAATTCTTAGAAATGTTCTTGTATGTCTGAATGATAGCCATGGATTTCATTTATACCATAGTTATGCTTGCATTGTCTTAGAAGTAAAATATATTAATTGTGTCAGAAGCCTGAAGCATGGTATAAAACAGCTTTACTGATTACTAAGCATGCTGAGGAAATCAGTTTGTTTAATAAAAATATAAATAATATGCATGAACTGCAAAGTAATCTAAAAGGTGGAGATCGTCTGTGTCTGTCTTATAGTTGAATCAGAGGCATAAATACTCAGAAAGTCTCACTGAGTTTAATAGGATTTATTCCCATTTCAGAATACAAAGGATTAGGATCTAAGAGATGGTTCTAGATTAAGAAATAGAATAGTTTTATAGTTCTTCAATTCATTTAAGATCACCTTTAACATCTTGCAAAGGCTTATAATATGTATTATGCTGTATTATATAGCCTCCTTCCCTAGCTTGAATGTCAATTAGTTTAAAAGTTAAACACACTGGGTAGAATTCCAGGAAATCATGAGTTCCAGTTCTGCCTTTGGCATCGAGCCAAGTAGACGATTTTGGGCCTAACATTTTCTCTCATCTCATAGAAGAAAGCAATGGTGAAGGACTTCTGATGCCAAGAAAACTACATGCCTTTGTCTGTTTAAATGCAAGGACTCAAGGTTTTTTTTCACTAGCGTTCATTGGAAATAATGAAGTCATGCATGTCTGTAAGACATCAGATTTGAGAAAGGTTTCTTTTTTTAAAATAAAGTTTTATTTGGGTTTTCACACACAAAATACAAGTAAAACATCTTTTTTGAAAAATAGCATGGTCCCAGGTTGAACTTCTTTATACAGACACAAAACTCAATTTCATGCTCCTTTTTGTGTTCTATTCCATATCTTATACTATTCTACATTTTCTATATAGTTTTTCCCCTCTTTTAATTTTCTCAATTTTATTTTGATTATCTCATCTCAATTCAAATCATTATATTTATACTTTTGTCTGTTCTGTTTCAATTTCGTATTATCTTTTCTCATTAAACAGATTTTCTCCTGTAGTTACTAATTGGAGTATGACACCTTTATATCTTTCAATTACATCCATTCAACTCTTATTTAAACTTCAATATATACCTTAAGGTTATGACCTTCAATATAATACATAATACATAACTTCCAATCGAATTCTGCTTGGTACATTCTTATAATACACACTATATTCTTTAAAAAAAAAAGGATTATAAATATATGTAATTATAAACCCTCATTCCATTCCAATTCAGTTCTATCATGAATAATCATTAAAATCTTAACATCTTTAACACTTCTTTTCAATTAAATATCATACTTACTTAAAGACACATATAATCTCCATAATTAATTTTTCCCTTATTTCTCTTCACATATGTTTTGTAAATCATTAAATACTCATTTTGTTACATTTATTTGTTGACAAGCATTCCACTGAATCACGATAGCTATTTTTTCAAACATGTTAATCATACATTGTTTCATATTTTCTAAAATTATTTCTGTTTCTAATATAACAATACTATCTTATGTACCTTTGCAGAATCCCTTTTTCCATTAAGTTTTCACCCATTATCTCTAAATAGACCCTGTTTCTCTATATTTTGTTTCTGTCCTTTATAACTTCTTTTTCTTTCTTTCTTCCCTCTCATCTTCTCCGTCCCCTTTTTACCCCCTTGTCTCTCTACTTCTAATTCTCTCTTCTGCAAATTTCCCTCTTCTGTTGCTTTCTGATTTTATACTTATTTTTCACTCTATTCTTTTTGGAGTTGTTTTTCCCAATCTTAAACTTTCCATTCTCTTTCCCCTCTTTCCTTTTTTTCCTCCATTTAAGATTAGTTGTTTATTAAAGATGGCTTCTTCTTTGTCGCAATCTTCTTGTTCTGCAGGCATTTCTTGTTGTTTCTCATAATTCCAAATCTCCATTTCTAAAAACTGAAATACGAAGCCAAAGGAACCTCTCCCTTGTTGTGCATCTTCTTTGTACTTTTTAAGTTTCATTTGCAGTTCTTCTAAAAGTGGAGCCATTTTAAACAGTTTTAAACAACCACCCGATTGATTTTAGTCAATCAAATACAATAACCAAAAATCCAGAAACCATCAAGTAATCCAAATAGTCCTGAGTTATATCTTCTTATTTCTTTTTCCACTTTCTCTTCCTGGGGTTTTTGTTGTGATATTTCAGTTAGAATGTATCTTTTGGAAGTCTTGTTGAGATTTTGCTGTAAGTTCTTTTTAATTCCAGGCAGTCTCCTCCCTTCCAGATCCTGCCCTTTTATTCTTTTTCTCTCCTTTCCTGTTTTCAAAAACTTTTGATTATCCAGAAATCTTTATTATCCCTTTGACTTTTTATTTTCAGCATTAAATGCCTATTAATGTCAAAGTGGATTTTTTTCCAATTTCTTGCTTAAGTATCTTAGCTGTCAGTATAGGAAAAGGAGAAAAAAAAACAAATCTTTTCCCTTTTCTCTCTCCTTCGCAGCTTAAAAATCTTCTTAGGGAACAATGTTATTGTTTTTTTTTTTAATAGTTTCAATTCCAGGGTTTGTTGCTTTTGCTGTTTGACCCGGTCAATCAAATCTTTCTCTTCTTATCTTCCTCCTGCACATTCTTTTCCGGTCGAGTTCTTCTTTGTGGTGGCCATTTCTGACCACCGCTACAACCGCCTTCAGGAAAGGGAGTAATGGCCAGCTGGGGAGGAGAGATGCGGCTCTCCTCAACCCTGCAGGCAGTCTCCCCCCTCTTCACCACCTCTACGGGGTGGCTTAGCCCGAAACCAGCCAGCTCGGGGCGCTCCAGTGGCGAGTACGGATCGAAGCCTCGCAGAGACGAGGCTTCGGTCTGTCGCTGAAGGAGCTCAAACCGGAAGTCAGATTTGGGAAAGGTTTCTTGATGTGAATATTTAGGTAACGGAAGGTATTAGAAACAAAGTGTGGATAAAGCAGTGATACTCAGTAGACTGTGCCTTCTCATTTCCACTTGTTTCTATTGGCAAAACCATGTGTACCAGGTCATCCATGAAGATGTTTTGTTTAAGCAAGGCCTTGCATGAATTATTCATCAAACTATGTGAATTGCAGTCTTGTTACATCGTTTCAGTGATCATCTAGAAAAAGGGATTATTTATTACAAAATGTAGGGCAGCATACAAGTTTAACAAATTATTAAATTATTAACATTGTGAATCAGATGTATGCTCTTTATATTTCTGAAATATGACAGTTTGAATGAAAAATTCATGGGTAGCATAGTTTTGCAGAACCCAGTAATTAAAGATAATAAAATTAATATGACATTAAGCTATTCTAATTTCTAAAAAGTTATATTATGATTTTTAAAATTAGCAACCTAAAGAATACATTGGAAGAGGAAGAAAATATTTGTTTGTTAAATATATATTCCATATTTCCTCTAGAACATAAGACAATATGCATGCCCTCTGCTAGTTTTTCAGAACAATGACTTGCACAAAGTTCCTAACCACTCTGGGAGCTTAGTAGCAGACTTAGTAGCTGCCTGATATTAACATTACTGATTCTTTTTTTGTTATAAATATGAAAAATGACCAAGTCCTAAATTAGTTTGTTTCTTCCTTCTTGCCTTCCTCCTTTCTTCTTTATAGGAAAAACACTCACAATATTAATGAATGAGAAGAGCACTATCCCTACTGAATTTGTGCTCCTTGGAATCTGGGTTTCCGAATTCCAAACTCCAGATTTGTCAAACTTCCAGGTGCTGTGACACACTCTGCCCCCCGCTCCCGGCAAATAAAAATATCATATAGTCCTCATCTAACAAAACCAGTTATTTCTTTGAGCTATGTCTTACCAAGAAATAAACCCAACAAATACTGTAAATAAATTTTTTAGTACACATACAAAAACAAACCAATAATAAAATCTTGAAAGATTATAAAACAAAACATTTTCTGCCAACAGCAAAATAATCAAATTGGAAATCATGTCCCTCTCTGGGAAGAATATGCAAATTCATATGCAAATTCTGACATGCAAGAATATGCAAATTCTGACATATCTCCTGAAATGTGAGCTATGCCTGTGAGTTACCCAATATCATTGCTCTATCACATTTTCACTCTGTACTCAGCAACTACAAAAAAGCAAGAACAAGTTCTGATAGTGATCCACTGATCCAGTCACTCAGACAACAGCAAATTCCAGCCATTTATAAACCTAAGGATCCAGGATTTCCTGAAAGACTGTGTATTTTTTCTCCAAATGTCAAGAACATCTCATTATCAGAATGTAAATGCCTTTACAGGTAGTCCTCAACTTGCGAACACAATTGAACTCAAAATTTATGTTGTTAGGTGAGAAACTTGTTGAGTGAGTTTTGTCCCATTTTATGACTTTTCTTGCCACATTTGTTAACTGAATCACTGAAGTTGTTAAATTAATAACATGGTTGTTAAGTTAATCTGGCTTCCCCATTGACTTTGCTTGTCAGAAGGTTGCAAAAAGGGATCACGTGACCTGGAACACTGCAACCGTCATAAATATGAACCAGTTGTCAAGCATCCAAATGTAAATTACGTGATTATGGGTTTTCTGCCGGGGTTATAAATATGAAAAATAGTCATAGGTCACTTTTTTCAGTGCTATTGTAACTTTGAACAATCACTAAATGAACTGTTGTAAGTCAAATACTACCTGTATATGAATTATGAAGTTCTGTAAAATAGACAAAAGCACAAGGTAATGCTAATGCAAAGTTCTGTAGCTTCAATAAAATTCATAACTAAGTGCAAAATGTTTCTGAAATTTTATGGACTTTTTTCTGTGTGCACGAGTTAAATTTCAGCATTGTTCTCAAGCACCATTAAATCCCATTATTAAAGTACACAGATTAAGCTATTGAGAGTACAATGTCCCTAGCCAGGTACAATAATTCAGTGTCATCTTGTTCTGGGAAGTTACATTGTGCTCTTTTTTGTGGTTGATGGAGAGTGTTTTATAAACTTTCAATAGTCAAAGCATATTTATAATATATCTGGGTCAGGGATTGTGATTCACTGCTGCCACCTATTAACTGTCTAGATTTTTTCAGTCTTGGTATCATACAATCATTTTCTCAATATAAATTGGTGGCATTTAAAAAAAAAAGAAAACAAAGAGAATGACTTTCAAAACAAGCTTATCTTGGACTCTATCTATCCACTAAGTTTCAGACATGTTCTATTATCTTGATGGGCATGAATGAAAAAGTTTTTCTGTTCCTTATTGTACTACAATTACTAGCATGCGGGAAAACAGTTTAACTTCCCCTTGTTGACCCTGGGTATTTATTCAACTCTTTTTTTAAAAAAATCATCCAAACATCTGAATTTTTCCTAATGTATCATTGTCATTGCTTTATAAATCAGTCAGGATTATCTCCTCATATTAAAGTCTGACAATAGAAAGCTAGAACAGTAAAACTTTTTTATATCATAATTCTTTTATTAAAGATTTTTTTTTCATTAGAACAAAATAAATCTAATAAAAAAAGAAAGAAAGTAAAATATAATCAAATGCAAAAGAAAAAAAGGAAAACAAAAGAGAAATAACTAAAGAAAGTAAAGTAGATGGTTTCTGGACTTCTTTTCAGCAGATATTAACAAACCCATAATCTCCTGTCCCTCTTAAT